AACGGGCGCGCGCGCCGCGGGGACGCGGAAGGCCACGGCGCCGCCCGCGCCGGGCCGGAATCCGACGACGCGCCCGTCGGCCAGCGCGGCCGCGGCGACGTCCTCGAGGCCGGCCGCCGGCAGCGACGCGAAGAGACCGACGCAGGCGCCGCGCGCCGCGGCGACCTCGGCCCAGGCGACCTCGGCGCCGAGGGGCGCCCAGACCACGGACCCGGCGTCCGTGGCGCACACGACGCAGCGCGCGCGCCGCTGGACCACCGCGGCGGCGGCGAAGGCGCTCCCGCCGGGCGCCGCCCACCGCCGCGCCGGAGCCCAGGCGCCCGACGCCTCCTGCGCGAAGACGACGACGCGGCTCGCCGACGTCACGACGACGTCGCCGCCGCTCCAGGACACCCCGATGGCCGGTTCCGCAGTGAGCAACACCATGGATTGTGGCGATAATTTGGCCGCTGGTGCGCTGATAATTGTAGCCGGCGGGTCCTAGCGTGAAAGTTAGATTAAGAGCAAGCTAAGCGGGGCAAAATTAAACCGAGCATTCCGGTGCCGTAAACACGCGCGGCAGGCCGCCGGCGGACAGCTCGGGCGGCGGAGACAACTGACAAAAATCGGCGCGTCCAAAACGGACATCGTTGGACCGCTGCGTCTATGCGCGCGCTCACGGCGCCGGAGCCATAGCTGTGAGATGGGTTAGATTAAGAGAATTACGAAAACTCTTCGGATTTGAGCTTTTCTCACGAAGTTGAGTCGAAGATGTTTTGAAAATTTCAGCGCATATGACGCGCGCGCGCGCGGCGGTAGAGGTGTCAGGAGGCATGCGCCGGCCAAAGCCGTGTTCTCTTAATCTGACCATTCTCTTAATTTAACTCTCACTCTATATACACCCTTATTGGTTCCAACATAGCAATTTCCCAAGTATTTATTTATTCTTTCTGGCCGCCGGCCGTAGTATGTCATAGAGGTCCTCCGTCGACCGCGCGCGCGTGGGTCGACCACCGGACGGAAATCGTGGCAAAATTGTTGAATTATGTCCCCGGCCAAGCCGGCCCATCGGGATAGCGCGCTAATCGTATCGATTGAGAGATTTCAAGGGTGTGGGGTCGCCGGTTTGGGTCGGAAGTCGTAATTAAATGTTCAACAAAACGCTGACTTGAAGGGAAATATCACCCCAGAGTATTCGTTTTCAGATTTTGTTTTCGGCCTTGTACAACGGCCGCCCGCTCATGTCTTCCGCACGCCCACGCCCCGCGCGTCGCCGTGTCCTCGACCGCCGAGACCGAGACGCATGCTGCACCTCGCTGCTGACAGTCGCCCAATCAGGATAGCCTCACGTAATTCATTGT